TTGTTGACGCTGCAGCCATGTCGTGAAGACGCTGTGTGCTTCGTTGTGAAAGCGAAACTACTTTGTTTGGTCTTCCAAAAGAGGACGATATCCACTTTGTCATGCTTAGAGCTGATCCGTGCTGGTCGCTGAGGGAATACATTAACTTTCACCGTGGACAAAGCGGAGTCCAGCCCGGGGTCCGTCACATGTGGTTGCCACTCATTTGTCGCATCCGCCGGGCGCGCCGTTCTCGAACCCGCCGCCTCAGCTCACTCTATCCCGGCCTCAGCGCACGCTAAGCCGGGGCTTCCCCTCACGCTAGGCCGCTGTGTTTTTCGTTGTGAAAGCGAAACTACTTTGTTTGGTCTTCCAAAAGAGGATGATATTCGCTTCATCATGCCTAGAGCTGATCTGTGCTGGTCGCTGAGGGAATACATCAACTTTCACCGTGGACAAAGTGGAGTCCAGCCCGGGGTCCGTCACATGTGGTTGCCACTCATTTGTCGCATCCGCCGGGCGCGCCGTTCTCGAACCCGCCGCCTCAGCTCACTCTATCCCGGCCTCAGCGCACGCTAAGCAGGGCTTCGGCTCACGCTAGCCTGGCCTCAGCTCACTGTAGCCTGGCCTCAGCTCACTCTATTCGGGCCTCAGCGCACGCTAAGCCGGGGCTTCCCCTCACGCTAGGCCGCTGTGTTTTTCGTTGTGAAAGCGAAACTACTTTGTTTGGTCTTCCATAAGAGGACACGACTACAAATCAGTGGTTAAGTTGTATTTACAACACTGTTCCAGAACAGTTTAACCCAAATATCCAGATGTGTGCAGCACATTTTATGGAGGACTGTTTACTGATCCTGGGAGAGTAACGTCAGACTAAAATGCCGTGTAGTTCTGACTCACGTAAGTACATTTTCATTTAAAGGATTTGCCACTGATGATTCAAACGCGAGTTTTGGGCAGTGTGGAGTAGCACTTGTTGTTTGTCATTTCTCCGATCACAAATGCAAACAGAGTTTTATGTTTACGCAGCGCGATGCGATGCAATGCAACGCAACGCGTCAAAAAGACAGTATAAGTCATTATAATCAGTAATTATGTCCCCACTGGATGCTACAAATGCCTCGTTTGTAATAGGTTTTAATGTTTTTGTCTCGTTGCTCCGGCCGGACACGGCATCAACAGTATGTGAGGGTCGTAACATTTCCGTCTCACGCTTGAGGTATTCGGCCAATCACAACGCATTGGATAGCTGGCCAATCACAGCACACCTCGCTTTTTCAGACCGATGAGCTTTGTAAAAATCGACGCGTTTCAAAAAGGCGGGGCATAGAGGAGAAACAATAATGTACAGTATGTGGAAAATAATGTGTTTTTTTTACTTTAAACCGCATAAACACATTTCATTACACCAAATACACAAAATTATGTTCTTTTTAGCAGCATCATATGACCCCTTTTACTTCAGTAAATCATGTTATCGCTATTATTTTAATAAAAAAGCAATTAAATGAAAAGAGAAACAGATGTAAATGGAAAAGCTGTGGCTTAGGTGAGTGATTTGGATTCACCTTCTTTGAATCAAATACATATTTCAGTTGATAACGGGTTTCAGTAAGCGTCCTGTTAAGCCCTCTTCCTGCTGTTTTCCAACCATTTCCTCATCTACACTTTCCAACAACAATTATAGTCTTACCTGATGAATAATTTCAGCCACTGGAAGTTGGTCCACATACGTCAAAGATTCGATTGTCATATCACTACTTCCAGACCTGAGGGGGGGGGGGGGGGGG